AGGACATTTCTTCTAAAACAGTCACCATCCTGCTATGGATGGAGTTGATGTTGGAATTGATGTTGATGACTGGGAAGGAATGGCTCAGTCAGAAGAGACAGTGTGGGGAGAGATGGAAAGGAGGGATAAATCAATGAACAACATGCCTCTGTGACTCCTGCGCCCTCCCCCCTCCCCCCACAGCACCCAGCCCTGCCAAACTGCCTGCTCTGCCAGCCAAGAGTATCCCCTTCTCTTCTCCACCTCTCCCAGGTCTATCCCGAGGCTCCCTGCCACGCAGAACTCTGCTTCCTCTCTTGGTTCTATGACCAGAATCTGTCCCCTGACGAGCATTACCATGTCACCTGGTTCTTATCCTGGAGCCCCTGCCCCACCTGTGCAGAGGAGGTGGTCAGATTCCTGAGGGAATACAGGAACGTGACGCTGAGCATCTCCACCGCCCGCCTCTACTACTTCTGGCTCCCAGATTTCCAGGACGGGCTTCACAGGCTATGGACTGCAGGAGTCCACCTGCACATCATGTCCTTTGAAGGTGAGAGCAGAAGGAGCTGGGGACAGGACTGTGGGAGGGAATAGGACTGGGGCGGGGGTTGGTGGTGAAGGATCTAGACTATCCCTAGGGAGAGTGAGTGGGAAGAGATCCTGGGAAACTGAGGCAGGACTGGTGGTGCCTGGCAGGGAGGGTACGGGAGGGTCAGGAGAAGAAGGCGTCCCAGGGCCCACCTGACTGCCCTCTTCCCTCTTTATCTTAGATTATGAATACTGTTGGGACAACTTTGTGGACCACAGGGGGATGCGCTTCCAGAGTCGGAATCTATTAAGAGATAATGATTTGCTGGCCACAGAGCTTGAGAATATTCTTAGGTGAGGGCATCCTCAGCCTCCTGGCCTCTCCCTGCTGCTGCGCCCCCTCCTGGGCTCCAGCCACCTTCACCGCCCACCCCAGTCCCTCAGGCCCCCCCACTTTCCTCCTGCGCATCCTTCCTCCTTCCTCAAGACGTCCCTCTCCCCCATGAAGGGGCCCCCACCTGGTTCCTTCCATCTCACCACATTAACCAAATCTCGTTAATAAACTGAAGGTATATGGGCACGAATGTCTAAGTGTGAAAACCAGAAGCTGTGAGAAACATCCTTCCTGAGGATGTGACTTCTCAGAGAACCAGGGTCCTTGATGAGAGTGTACTGCTGCTCCAGGATTCAGCGGTCTGTCCTCTGGGCTCGCTGCGGGGAGCCCCTGGTGTCCCTCTGCGTGTCCCGGTCTCCCCTTCTCATAACAACATCAGGCAGATTGGATTCGGGCCCCTCCTAAAGGGCCTCATCTTAACAGCCATCTTTTTAAAGTCTGTACCTAAAATATAGTCACATTCTGAGGCACTAGGGTTGAGACTTTAGAGGATGGATTTGGGGGGCACACGGTTCAGCCCAGACAATGACCCAGGGCCTTCTTGAGCTGAAGGCGCAGGGCAAAACCAGGATCCTTATTCTGCGTATCTGTCTCCTGGGTTATGCCTGAGCTGTCCCCGCCCCCCGCCCAACCTGCTTCCCTTCCAATCCTTGCTGCTCTGGACCCCTCCCCCCCACCGCCACCGCCTCCCGCCCCGGTCACCATCACACCTGCCCTCACTCCCATGTCCCTTATCCCCTTCCCACATTGCTGCCAGAGGGGAAGCTCTGGGCAGGTTGCAGCCTGGAGATAGCAACGGAGAATGAGTTTACATTTAAATACGTTTTGGGGTTTTTTTTTAATGTAAGATTGGATATGGGAGCACTGAGATCATCAGAACTTTTCCAAAAAAGCAGAATCAAAAGTGGCAGGTGGCCAAGAATCAAGTCGGGGAGACAGGGAAGCGCGAGCCGTAGAGGTAAAACAGGGACCATCTGGTTCTTTGACCACAGAGCCGACGACCCCATGAACATACTGGGGGGCGGTCGGCGGCAGTGGTCCATGGGGTGGCCTGGAAAAGGAGCAAGAGGTCAGCCCTAGACGGTGGGATTCTGGGCAGGCAGAGGCAAAGGCAGAGGCAGGAGAAGCAAGAGGGCGGGTGTTCGGTTTGGAAGACATCCCTAAAATCATTGTGGAGAACGTGCCAGGTCCCATTCAGACCAGCTATTTCTCCCTCTGATCTTGGCTGGCTAGGTGTGTATTGTTGGTGGCCACAGACCTCTGGCCCTCCCCGCGGCTCCCTGTCTGTCCTGCTGCCTGGGGGCCAAGGGAAGAACGCAGAAGGGCTCGGGCTGCCCCCCCCCCGCCCAGTCTGCCCTGCTGCTCTCTCTCGCAGCCTTACGCATGGAGGCACAGAGAGGCATGTGTGGACGGCACACCTCTCGACTGCCTGCGTCGTCGAAACGGGGCAAAGTGGCCTGCTCGAAATATCCCCTCCTTCTGGAGAAAAGAACCATGCAGAAGGCCAGTCTTAGAGATCTGTGGGGGCCTTCAGGACATTTCTTCTAAAACAGTCACCATCCTGCTCTCGCACATCCCCGTTCTCTGCCCATCTCTGATGGCTAGGAAGAATTCAGCCTTCCTGCTTCTCTGGCCAGAGGCGTCTTAGCTGTCAATTTGGTCAACACCTGAGTACGCAGATCTGATCACTCTCTTGGAAGGGCCTGAGCCCAGGTTCTCATTCTGGAAACTTCTTCTTCAGGGGCCTCTGGATATGAGAATAGATGGGTGTGGAGGGGACGCCATTCCCTCAGATCCTCCAACTCTTGCCCGTGCTCTTGTTACCCCCTTGGGGCCATCCCAGGGCCTGTAGGGCAAAATGAGGTGTGTATGGCGGGGGCCACCAGCTGGGAGAAGTTCGGGGACTCGCATATGCATGCGGTCTGGACTGGGGATGGCAGGCGGCTGCTCTAAGACCTCCTCTGTAGAATTCAACTTTCCCCAGTTGCTCGTTGTTTTTCCATCCGGGGGTCTTGGTGGACATGTGACAAGGCAAGCGGATAGCTTTCAGGACGCACACTTCAAGTCCAGGTCCCTGATCCCTGATCTGGGAGGCCTTGTGGGGGCAGCAAGATCCCTCCTACTCATGGAACACTAAGGAAGTGGGAGGAGCCAGGTTGGTACCCCTGGAAGGCATTCCAGCTCTGCCATTGGTTTGCTGTGTGGCTCCAGAGAGTAGCTTAACCTCTCTGTGCTGGGACCTCATCGAAGGTGTCAGGATAATGATAGGCCCCTTCCAAAGCTACTGGGGGCTCTGGTAGAGGATGGAGTACAGGATCTGCTCAACACACCTGACTTCTCCAGGGTTGGAGATGAAGATCTGACCTGTAGACCTCACTTTCCTGATGCCCAGAGCCCTGACAGGATATGAATGACTCCTAAGGGCAACACAGGGGTAATGAGGAAAGGGCTTACTCCACTCCTCGGAGAGCCTGGCCCTCCCCAGAAGCCAGCCTCCACCCAGCTCTCTCCAGCCAAGCTCTCCCAACCCCCTCGGGCATATCCTACTTTCTCTTTCTCTTTGCAATAACTTGGTCCTGCTGCCCCACCCAAGGGCAGCTCTGCCCAGGGCGGGGCATCTCAGAGAAGAAGAGAAGGTGGGTCTGAGCCCAAGGAAGTGCAACCATCCGAGGTCCCTCCCACCCCTAAAGCCAAAGCAGGAAGGAGGTGGGGCATCCAGGGAGGCAGCCAGCAGCCCGGGGAGGTCACTCCAGATTGGGGCTTTCCCAAAGCAAGGCCAGCGAGAAGTATAGAGCCCTGGTGCCCCAGACAAAGGGCAGGGCTAGGACAAGCCAGCTGAGGAGAGGCAGCTGCATAGGAACTCCCAAGGTCAGGTAAGTCTGGAGGAAAGAAGGTGGGTGGGAGTCCACAGAAGCACAATCAAGCTAGGGCCTCCCACCCCAGCTTTTGTCTGGCAGGAAGAGGGTGGGTCCACCACTCAGACTACTGTGGGAGGACACTCACAGATACAGGGCTTTCCCAAGGCCAAGAGCAGCCTTGTGAGAGGGAAGTGGAGCTGGAGACCCAGGGCTCAGGCCAGGATGGGACGAGCCTGCCAAGGAGCGTGGGATGGGGCTGCAGGGACCAAGTACCACTGCTCGCTTGGCTCTCTGCCTCCTTCCTCCTCCCAGCCCCACTTCTCTCCCTCTTTGACACCTAATCATTCCATCCGCAGGGTCTGTTCCTGCCTCTGACCTGCAGGCCCGCCTGGGCAGGTGCCCATCCCCCCAACCCCCCACCCCAACCCCTGCTGCCTCCACATCCTGTCTCTGCCTGTGGCCCTATCCCCTAGGCCCATCCCCTAGGCGTGGCCCCTGGGTCTTCCTAAAGCACTTTATTTAAGCTTAGTTGTAGACTTTAGTTAGAGACTTTAGATTCAAGGATGATTGAGACAATTGTTGGAGTCAGCTATAAAAGCATATTTATACATTTTATTTTAAAAACTTGCACAGTTTTGCAAAGAATGCTCTAATTTCTGTAACCGATCTGAGCAAGAGTTCATCTGCCTGATGCTCAGGAAGCCAATAAAGAACTGACACTGGGTTTCTGTGCTGAAGAGACAGGCTAGTTACTGGTGTGGTGTCACCCAGGAGAACTGGGAGCTGATGCTCAAAGGTCCTAAACTCCCCGATGGTTTGCAAGTAAGGGTGTTTAAGGGCAAAAATTCAGGGTTAGGGGTCCAGGCTCATGGGTTCTTCTGATTGATTGGGGATTAGGTAAACTTCAAGATTGATTAACTTGTCTTTCTGGTACCAGCCGGTCTGGTTTCATCCAGATTGTGGTCAGTGGTCCTACTGCTTCCCTGGTCCAGGTCTGAAGACCAGCTCAGCAGTGCACATCAGTGATGCTGCTTTGTTTGCAGAAGCCAAGCACCTCGTGGCTATGATGACCACATAGACAGTGTTCCCTGGGTGATGTTCATCATCTTAAGCAAAGCATCCTCTAAGTTCCCTTTGGCATTTTCCTAGCAATCTTTAACTGCGGGCGGCTTTCTGCAGATTTAGTTCTGTGGATGGTTTCATTTCTGTTCTGTGGAGGGAAAAATCCTCTCCAAGACAAGAAGATACATTGCTGGGGCGCCTGGGTGGCTCAGGTGGTTAAGCGTCTGCCTTCCGCTCAGGTCATGATCTCAGGGTCCTGGCATCGAGTCCCTCATCGGGCTCCCTGCTCAGTGCAGAGCCTGCTTCTCCCTCTCCCTCTGCTTGTGCTCTTCTGTCTATCTCTCTGTCAAATAAATAAATGAAATCTTTAAAAAAAAAAAAAAAGATACATTGTTTCCGACAAAGACACTACCAAGTGTGAAAAATTAAATTAGTCTTTAAATGCTCCTTACGAGTTGTTTCTATCATCCCTCAATTTTAGCTATTCGAGGTCAAGCTTTAACATTTGTGCTACTAAGACAGTGCACTTGTCTAAGATTTGAAATAGTTCAGCCTTGAGTGTCTGGTTTACCAGGGACTGGGGAGTTTCCCAGGACGTGGGAACTTCAGTGCTAAAATTGGGAAGCCACGGGGCAGTTGGTTGTCCTAAGTGTGCTGTGAATGGATGTTTCTGTTCTAATCTACATGCTGAGGGCAACCAGGTGCCCTGAGCGTAGCAGCTTCGGGTGAGGTCACTGGCGGGTAATCCAAGGCCACAATCCAGAGATGGCTTTTTCAATGACAGTCATCAAAATGCACCTGAAGCTTTACTAATTAGCATAAGGGGTATCAGAGATGGGTTTCCATTGATGAAATTAGTGGCTTTGTTAATTAGCATAACAGATGACAGGAATGGTCTTTTGTTGATAGAATCCGTGGTGTTTCAACAAGTTGGCTGGAAATATGGGGAAAGTATTTCTGGCCTTGCAGGAACACGGTATCCCGTAGTCTGTGCCCTGAGGAATGACACCCTTGGCTTGATTCCCGTGTCCGGTTCCAAGCGTCTGTGGTCACCTGAGCCAGACTCAGTGGTCGGCCAGGTCACGTTAGCTTTGGGTGGAGTGTCCAGAAGGAGAGTGGGCTGGGGCGCCTGGGTGGCTCAGTCGTTAAGCGTCTGCCTTCGGCTCAGGTCATGATCCCAGGGTCCTGGGATCAAGTCCCACATCGGGCTCCCTCCTCAGGGGGAAGCCTGCTTCTCCCTCTCCCCCTCCCGCTGCTTGTGTTCCTGCTCTCGCTATCTCTGTCTCTGTCAAATAAAAAAAAAAAAAATCTTTAAAAAAAAAGAAGGAGAGTGGGCTGGGGCCCCATCAAGCTTCCCCAGCTCGTTCAGGCTGTTTGGCATCTGCTTGGTCAATAATGTCCACACGCAGTGGGGCTCTGCTGGTTAGAGCTCTCATGCACCTCTCTGGGGCAGGCAGGAGGGCTCTTAGTTCTGTCCACCTACTTGTATCTGCAGAGCTGACAGCGTTTATCAAAAAGAATCCCATGCACACATGCCCACATGAGCCAGGTCACTCTGCAACTGGAAAACAAGTAAGATACAAGATGGAATACTCTCTAGAGTATAATCACAACTGGGGGGAGGAAAAGCTATTTGACCTTTAGCCAAGGTCTCTGTCACAACGCTCCCTTGGTGACAACAGTTTTTCCTGTTCACCAGCCTCTCTGTGCTTTGTACAGACAGTTAAGATTGTGATGCCCACGCCTAAGCAAAGAGCAGAGAGTTAGAAGAATTACTAGTGCAGCCCCTCCATCCCCAAAGAGAAGGGTTGTGGCATTGGACATCAGGGTTGAGATGTCCGTGGGACCTGAACAGAGGGGTCTGGGGCACAGGACAAAGATGGGTGAGCCAAAAAGTTCTGATGTCAAGTTCTCAGGGTGGGGCCCCCCAGCCAGCCCAAGGCACCCCGCCTGCAGTGACCTCCAGTGTGGGCATGGTGGGTGCTCCACCAGACTGGAGGTGGGGCTGTGTACAGGTGGGAGAGCTCACCCTCTTCCTTCCCCCTTCCCAGCCCTCCTGGACAACAAGGAAAGAGGAGAATGTCCCTTCCCTCCCCACCCCAGGGGCCCAAGTGGACCAAGGAGTTGGGTTCAGAAGGTGACAGAGCCTGGGGTAACACCAGAAGATGCTCTCTGCATCTTTGGTTTTCTTCCCCTTGCGCAGAACCACAATGAATCCACTACAAAAAGAAATATTCTTCTATCAGTTCGGCAACCAACCCCGGGCCCCAAAGCCCTACCACCGGAGGACGACCTACTTGTGCTACCAGCTGAAGCCACATGAAGGCCCCATAATTGCCAGAGTCTGCCTTCAAAACAAGGTGCCAGGCGGGCTGTCTGGAGACAGGGCCGGTGGGGAAAATACCGAGGCTTAACTGGGTCTGTTAGCCCTGCTTCCTGGGAACTCTCCATGGTTTTCCATGGTTTTCTCGTCCCTGGGCCTCTGCAGAAGCTCTTCCCTCCAGCAGAACGCTCTTCCTGCCCCTCTTTGAGAATATAATATTTACTTGTCCTCCGGATGTCAGTTCAGTCGCTGCTTCTGAGAAGCCAAGCGGTCTTCCAAGGACTGAGCGCTCAACCCCACCTCCAAGAACTCCCTCATACACCTGCCCTCTGCTTTTCTGCCCCCCCTTCCCACCTGCCCCATCCTGCCTCCCTCCCATTCTGACCTGCTCCTTGGGAACCCCACGTTCTAACATCTCCTGATGTCCAAAAGGCAAGGTCTGCCGAACATCTGGGAATGGTGCCATGGGGCTGTCTGTCTGCCAACCCATCTCCTCCCAGGGGGTTGGGTCTGATTCAGATCAAGCTGCAGATGATTTGGGGTGCTGAATCAATGGATGAGTGGGAGAAGGAAGGAAGGTTCTTTCCCCATCTTAGGCAAGTTCACAGGGCAGAGCCCCTTATCCCCAGTGGTGCCCTCAGTATGTGACCTTTCTTCTGTCTGGGACCCTCCCTAGAAGAAGCGCCATGCAGAAATTCGCTTTATTGACAATATCAAGGCACTACGACTGGACACATCCCAGAGATTCGAAATCACCTGCTATGTCACGTGGAGCCCCTGCCCCACCTGTGCGAAGGAACTGGTTGCGTTTGTCAGAGACCACCGCCACATCAGCCTGCGGCTCTTTGCCTCCCGCCTGTATTTCCACTGGCTCAGGGAGAATAAGAAGGGGCTGAAGCGTCTGCACGCATCCAGGATCCCAGTGGCTGTCATGAGCTCCCTGGGTAGGGAGAGGGCAGAGCTGTCAGGGGATGGGAGGGTTTGCAGCTCCAAGAGAGAAAAGCCACTGGGGGAGGGGGGGTTCCTGGACCAAAAGGTGGTGGCCCAGCTGAGGCCCAAGCTGTGACACCACCAGGAAGGGCAAAGGAAGGAGGGGTCCCTGGAATTGCAGGGTGCACGCTTGTGGCTTTGCTGCCCCTGGGGCCTGACTGCCTTCCCTCTTCATCTCAGAGTTTGAGGACTGCTGGAAGGAGTTTGTGGACAACCAGGGCAAGCCTTTCCAGCCCTGGAACAAGCTGGAACAGTACAGTGAAAGCATAACCCGTCGGCTCCGGAAGATCCTTGAGGTGAGAAGCTGTCCTGATGCAGGCGCCTGCCCCCCCCTCCCCTGTGCCCCCTCATCCCAGCTCCAGCGCCCCCTTGTCTCTGTCCCTCCTCTCCTTGCTCTCTGTCCCCACTGTCCCCCTACACCTTTCTCTTTTCTCCCAACACTCTTCCCGTCACCCCAACAGGGGCTCCCAGTTCCTTCCTTGTCTCCCTTTTCTTAGGATCTTGTCTGTTTTCTGGTTCCCTCGAGACCTCCCTGGCCCTCTTTGACCCGGCTCTTCATGTCCCCTCTCCTTTGCTTGCTCCCCGCACCGTTGGCTGCCAATGACACTTCTAATTATTCTCTTTCTCTCTCAGCAGCCACAGAATGATTTAGAGAATGAATTCAGAAATTTGCAACTTCAATGACCATCAACCCCCTACCCCGTTCCTGGAGCAGTCTTGATGCTTCATAAACTGCTGACTTTTAGGAGCAACTTGTGAGTTCCACAGGCATACCTGAGCCTCCCCCGAGTCCAGAAAACCTTCCTTGCCTCCTTCATTCTTTTGTTTCTTTTTTTTTTTCTTAAATAAGTGGGTATATATTTTTATAACTGAAAAGATAAAAATAATTTTTAAGTTTGTAAAACTTGGGTTATTTTCTAAAAGGGAGATCAGGACTTTCCCTCATAAAAAATGAGTATAAAGGACTTTTTATCCTACTGCACCAAGAAAAAAACGTATTTGAGAATTCCCTCTAAAGTCTAGAATAGTTGGGGGCGCCTGGGTGGCTCAGTTGGTTGGGCGACTGCCTTCGGCTCAGGTCATGATCCTGGAGTCCCGGGATCGAGTCCCGCATCGGGCTCCCTGCTCGGCAGGGAGTCTGCTTCTCCCTCTGACCCTCCTCCCTCTCATGTGCTCTCTCATTCTCTCTCTCTCAAATAAATAAAAAAAAAAAAATTTAAAGTCTAGAATAGTTGGATCATTTTATCATCCCAATATTCTCTGTTCCTTCTGAGTATCTACTGTGTGTCTAAATAAATAAGATAAAACTGTTGAGTGCATGCAGTTGCTCACTGAATTGCTTGGGGGGATAAATAAAACCAGTTGGACAGTGTTATTCGGTGTTCTTCATTGAAGCAATAAGCACCAACTCCAGCCAATTAAAACAAGAAAAAAAATTTGTTAAAAAGATGTTGGGTGGCTCCTTGAAGCTCTAGGAAAGAGGGAGAGCTAGATTTGGAGGCTTCCAAGCCAGGAAGGAGCCCCCAAACTATGCTGCAGAGCTGGTCTGATGAAGGTGGCGCTGCCCATGGCAGCGTGCACCCTGCATATCAGCCGCACTTGGAAGCTGGACGCTGACCTGGAGCCCCTGCCTTGGCTGTCTCTATTGCCAACACCCCCACCCAGAATGGAGAAAAGAGAAGAAAGGAGTGACAATAAATAATGAACACAGCAGGGGCATGGATGGCTCAGTCTGTTGAGCGTCAGACTCTTGATTTCCACTCAGGTCATGACCTCAGGGCCATGAGATCAAGCCCCGAGACAGGCTCTGCGCTGGGCGTGGAGCCTGATTAAAATTCTCTCTCTCCCCCTCTCCCTCTGCCCCTCCCCGCCACCCCCCACCCCACTCACGCATGCACACACTCTCTCAAAAAAAAAAAAATGAACATGGTATAAGATGAAAAGAGTAAAATCAAGGGTATTACACTAAATATGAACAGAACAAATTCTTCCATGCTATTTCCAAGAAGCACTCTTAAAAAAAAACAAAGGAAACAGATTGAAAATAAAAGGGTTAAACAAAGATACCAGGCAAATCAAAATTTAAGGAGAAAGCAACAGTGAAACTATCACACAAGGTACACTTTAATGAATCAAACAGGTTAAAGAGGGACTTAGCATAATGGCACAAAGGAACAATGAAAGAATAAAATAATCATAAACTTGTATGTGCCAAACAACGTAGCAGCCAAATACATACGTAAAGGGAAAATGACTGGAAACTGACTCAGGCCTGCCATGTAATCCTATTCCCCCCTTTGCCACTTTTTTAGTCTCTCTTGAAGCTAGGGGTGGCCAGTTAGGACTAATCAAATGTAAGAAAATATCTACTAGGAGAGCTCTCTGGTTTTGTTTTTGCCAGGCAAGTAGGGTCTCATCGCCCTGTCCCTCCCTTGTTTTTCCTGCCTGTGAGTGGGAGAGAACATGTGGCAGTTATTTTGCAACCATAAGATGATGCACATGAGGACAAAGAGCCAACATGTTGAGGATGATGAAGCAAAAAGCCAGAAAAAGCATGAGTCTCCAATAACATTGTTAAGCCACTGAAATAATATCTACCCTAGAAATACCTACCTCCAATCTCCCTTTTAAATAAGATAATAAATATCTGCATCATTTAAGTCATTGTTAGTCAAATATTTTGTTATTTATAGCTGAATGAGCCCTAAGTGAAGTAATTTCAAACTCACATCTAGAGAACACAGCAAAAGCTATACTCAGAAGGACACCTGGCTGGCTCAGTTGGTAGACAGAACATGCAAGTCTTGATCTCAGGGTTATGAGCTCAAGCCCATGTTGGGACTAGAGTTTACCTATAAAAAAAAAAAAAATTGACTAAGTGGCTTGACTTAAGGGCTGTTTAGAAAAAGTGGCTTTGGCGTGCATGGGTGGCTCAGTTGGTTAAGCATCTGACTTTTGGTTTCAGCTCATGTCATGATCTCATGGGTTGTGGGATTGAGCCCTGCATGGGGCTCCATGCTCAGCAGGGAGTCTGCTTGAAGATTCTCTCCATCTGCCCCTCCCCCACTCTCTCTTGCTCTCTAAAATAAATATATCTTTTTTAAAAAGTGGCTTTAAAATAAAAGCTATACTCAGAAAAAAAAAAGAATAGACTGAGTTTTTTCATTACCAAAAAATATAGTAATTTACTACCCCTTTTAAGAAATTAGAAAAAGCAATCACAGACCTGTACCACTGAAATAAATAATACATTATATGTTAATAAAAAAAAGAAATTAGAAAAAGCAATGAAAGAAACCAGAGATAGGAAATTAATAAAGATCAAAGGTGAAGTTAATTAGAATATTTTAAATGGTAGGAAGGACAAATAAATCCAAAAATCTGTTCCTTGAAAAGACCAAGGAAGTAGATAAATCCAGAAAGAACCCAAAAAAAGAATAAGGACAAGAAAAATATACAAGATAAAGTATGAGGAAAGAAATATAACTCTGATATAAAAAAGACTAGAGGGCGCCTGGGTGGCTCAGTTGGTTAAGTGACTGCCTTCGGCTCAGGTCATGATCCTGGAGTCCCGGGATCGAGTCCCGCATCGGGCTCCCTGCTCG